GTGGTAGTGAGTAGCTGGTGTAGTAGCTGTGTGTGGTAGTGAGTAGCTGGTGTAGTAGCTGTGTGTGGTAGTGAGTAGCTGGTGTAGTAGCGGTGTGTGGTAGTGAGTAGCTGGTGTAGTAGCGGTGTGTGGTCGTGAGTAGCTGGTGTAGTAGCTGTGTGTGGTAGTGAGTAGCTGGTGTAGTAGCGGTGTGTGGTCGTGCACATCGCCACTGGGGAGACAAAGGCGGCCGGGCGTGGTGCTGGCCACCCACCCCCACGTGTGCCACAGTGCCGGTAGCCTTCATAGGTGCTGCTACTCGCTAACAGCACTTGCCCCTACAGTCTGCTGAGGTTATACAGGGGATCTTTGTCTTTGTGAGCGAGTGCGGAGTAGTTTGGCCGGCTAGAAGGGGCTAAACCATCGCTGCACGGGCTTAGAGAAGCAATGGTTCTGAGATTGGGTGGGTGAGTGAGTGAGTGAGTGGTAAGGGCGTAAGGTAAAAGATTGGTGAGTGGGTGAGTGGTACGGGCTCGAGAAGAGATGGACTGATGGGTGAGTGGGTGAGTGGGTGGGTGGAGAAGAGATGGACTGACGGGTGAGTGGGTGGGTGAGTGGTACGGGCGAGAGAAGAGATGGAGCTGATGGGTGAGTGGCACGGGTGAGAGAAGAGATGGAGTGACGGGTGAGTGGGTGGGTGGGTGGGTGAGTGAGTAGGTGGGTGTGTGGGTGGGTGGATGAGTGAGTGAGTGGGTGGATGAGTGAGTGAGTGGGTGAGTGGGTGAGTGGGTGGGTGAGTGGGTGAGTGGGTGGGTGAGTGGGTGAGTGGGCGGGTGAGTGGGTGGGCGGATGAGTGAGTGGGTGAGTGGGTGGGTGCGCAGGTGGGTGGGTGGGCGGGCGAGTGAGTGGGCGGGCGGGCGGGCGGGCGGGCGGGCGGGCGGGCGGGCGGGCGGGCGGGCGGGCGGGCGGGCGGGCGGGCGGGCGGGCGGGCGGGCGGGCGAGTGAGTGAGTGAGTGGGTGGTCACCACCCACCCCTCTCCCCGCTCACCGTCTCGCAGGCTACAACGCCACGGTGCTGGCGTACGGACAGACGGGTTCTGGCAAGACGTTCACGATGGGCGGCGCGTACAGCGGCGACGCCCATCCACACTCCACCGGGGTCATCCCGCGGGCCGTGCACGGCTCTGTTCCGTGGGGTGCAGTCACGTGACGCCTACGAGTTCGCCATCTCCGTGTCGTACCTGGAGGTGCGTCACGTTCGCACGCGTGTCACGCACGTACACGCACACACACGCACGTACACGCACGCACACGCACGTCATGTGCACACGTGTCACGCACGTACACGCACGTACACGCACGCACACGCACGCACACGCACGTCATGTGCACACGTGCACGCACGTACACGCACGTACACGCACGCGCACGTGCGCACACACGCGCACACACGCGCACACACGCGTACACACGCGTACACACGTGTTGTTGTCGTGTTACACAGTTGTGTTAAACTGTTGTTGTTGTGTTAGACAGTTGTGTTAAGTTGGTGTTGTGTTAGACCAGGGGTCCTCAAACTACGGCCCGCGGGCCACATGCGGCCCGCCGAGGACTTTTATCCGGCCCGCCGGGTGTTTTTGCCGCCGCTGCCTGTCTGTTACTTTTTTTCTACATGAGAAGGACGGTCATTGGTGGAAGAGGGAGAGGGGGCGGAGTTCCCCCAATCAGACTGCATTGATGGGCAGTGCAGTCTGTATGTCTCTGTGTGGGCAAAGTTATTGCTGGTATATTGTTTTTGTAGCGCTGTATATATATTGGTATTTTACTAATAGCAATTTTGACTCCCTAGGAAACAATGATGTCAAGAAAGAGAACAATTTACTCGGAGTGTAGGATATTCAAAGAACAGTGGACTTATGATTACTTTTTCATGCAGTACAAGGAAAGAGCTGTGTGTCTGATATGCCAGAATATAGTGTCTGTGTTCAAAGAATACAATTTACGTCGACACTATGAAACTCAACATAAAGATAAATATGATTGTTTGGTCGGAGAAGTGAGAAAAGATAAAATATTAAAACTGAAAAATACATTAGCAACTCAGCAAAATACTCTTGTGAAGCAGAAGCAGCTAAATATTTCATCACTGCAAGCAAGTTTTCAAGTTGCCAAGCTAATAGCGTGCACTGGCAGACCATTCGTGGAGGGAGAATTTGTTAAAGAATGCCTTCTTTCTGTTGCCAAAGAGATGTGTCCAGAGAAGGCCGATTTATTTAGTACAGTGAGTCTTTCAGGACCTACAATTACACGGGGGATTGAAGAAATGGGAGACAATTTGCATCAGCATTTGCAAAACTCCCCAAAAAAACTTTCCTATTTTTCCTTGGCACTCGACGAAAGCAATGATGTTCGTGATTCTGCACAACTTCTAATTTTTATTCGTGGGACGAATGACTATTTCGAAGTCACAGAAGGGCTTGCTGCACTGCAAAGCATCAAAGGAACAACTATAGGAGAGGATATCTTTCGATTTAAAGCTTTCGTGCCTGCAGGGATTCATCTTCTTGGTTCTTTCGGTAAAGTCACATAGAAGGGAAGTGATAAAATAATAAAAGTAAAAGATAATAAAATAATTCTCATGACGTTTCGGCCACAACGCAAGCAGCCGTCCTCAGGTGAAAACCAGGTTTGTTGGGGAGACAGCGTCTGAATGAAACAGCACACGAGCTTGGAGCATATATAAGCTGGGTTGGAAACGGGGGAAAGAGCGCCTTGACAAAATAATTTGCATATCAAGAGGAATTTAGCATATGTATGGGAAATGCAGGAATGTTATTAGTACTACATATGCAGCAGCAGTAGCAGCAGCAGCAGTAGCAGCAGCAGCGCTTAATGAAGGCCGGTATCCAGAGGTCGCAATCGGGTACCCGATACCCGTACCCTACCCGATACCCTGTACCCGGCCGGGTATGGGTATGGCCGGGTATCGGGTAGGGTACGGGTAGGGTACGGGTAGGGTACGGGTAGGGTACGGGCCGGGTACGGGTAGGCCGTGAGTCACTGGTGAGTCACCGTTTGTCACTCATTTCCCAACGTCTTGTCTCTTCTCACAATTCAAGTTCCTAGAATCAACCCACCCGCGCCTGCAACATGGCTTCATCCCAGAGGTCGCAACCGGGTACCCGATACCCGTACCCTACCCGTACCCGGCTGGGTATCGTCATCGTCGTTATCGTCGACCGAGAGTTTTGCGTTTCTCTGTTGCAGGTTCAACAGCTGCAGGTGCAGCTGCTGCAGGCTCGGGGTGGAGGTATCGTCACGATGCAGGGGTGGGTCTCTCTCTGTGTCTCTCTGTGTGTCTCTCTGTTTCTCTCTGTGTCTCTCTCTGTGTCTCTCTGTGTCTCTCTGTGTGTCTCTCTGTGTCTCTCTGTGTGTCTCTGTGTGTCTCTGTGTGTCTCTGTGTGTCTCTGTGTGTCTCTGTGTGTCTCTGTGTGTCTCTGTGTGTCTCTGTGTGTCTCTATGGGTCTCTATGGGTCTATGGGTCTCTATGGGTCTGTGTGTCTCTATGGGTCTCTGTGGGTCTCTGTGTGTCTCTGTGTGTATCTACAGGTATCTGTGTGTCTCCATGGGTCTCTGTGTGTCTCTGTGTGTCTCTGTGTGTCTCTGTGTGTCTCTGTGTGTCTCTGTGTGTCTCTGTGTGTATCTACAGGTCTCTATGTGTCTCTATGGGTCTTTATGGGTCTCTGTGTGTCTCTATGGGTCTATGTGTGTATCTATGGGTCTCTGTGGGTCTCTGTGTATCTCTATGGGTCTCTGTGTATCTATGGGTCTCTGTATTTCTCTATGGGTCTTTATGGGTTTCTGTGTATCTTTATGGGTCTCTGTGTGTATCTATGGGTCTCTGTGTGTCTCTATGGGTCTCTGTGGGTCTCTGTGTATCTTTATGGGTCTCTGTGTGTATCTGGGTCTCTGTGTGGTTCTGTATCTCTATGGGTCTTTGTGTCTCTGTGTATCTCTATGGGTCTTTATGGGTCTCTGTGTATCTTTATGGGTCTTTATGGGTCTCTGTGTATCTCTATGGGTCTCTTCTGACGTTCCCCCACCCCCCCATGCCCCCCCCCCTCGTGTTGGCACCATCATCAGCGGTGGTGAGGGACAGGCCGCCAGCGTGCAGTCGGTGCTGGAGCGAAACCGGAGTCTGCACGAGGCCAACGCCCAGCTGAGCAGGGAGCTGCAGGTGTCTGTGGATCACACGGCGCACCTGCGTGAGAAGCTCATCCTGGTGAGTGGTGGTGGTGAGCGGGTGGTGAGCGGGTGGTGAGTGGGTGTGAGTGGTGAGTGGGTGAGTGTGTGAGTGGTGAGTGGGTGAGAGTGCGAGAAGGTCATCCTGGTGAGTGGTGGTGGTGAGTGTGTGGGGGGTGAGTGTGGTGAGTGGTGGTGGTGAGTGTGAGTGGGGTGAGTGTGAGTGGGGAGTGTGTGAGTGGTGGTGGTGAGTGTGTGGGGGGTGAGTGTGGTGAGTGGTGGTGGTGAGTGTGAGTGGGGTGAGTGTGAGTGGGGAGTGTGTGAGTGGTGGTGGTGAGTGTGTGGGGGGTGAGTGTGGTGAGTGGTGGTGGTGAGTGTGAGTGGGTGTGAGTGGTGAGTGGGTGAGTGTGTGAGTGGTGAGTGGGTGAGAGTGCGAGAAGGTCATCCTGGTGAGTGGTGGTGGTGAGTGTGTGGGGGGTGAGTGTGGTGAGTGGTGGTGGTGAGTGTGAGTGGGTGTGAGTGGTGAGTGGGTGAGTGTGTGAGTGGTGAGTGGGTGAGAGTGCGAGAAGGTCATCCTGGTGAGTGGTGGTGGTGAGTGTGTGGGGGGTGAGTGTGGTGAGTGGTGGTGGTGAGTGTGAGTGGGGAGTGTGTGAGTGGTGAGTGTGGTGAGTGGGTGAGTGGTGAGTGTGTGAGAAGGTCATCCTGGTGGGTGGTGGTGGTGGTGAGTGGGTGAGTGGGTGAGAGTGTGAGAGTGTAAGTGGGTGAGTGGGTGGTGAGTGGTTGAGGCCATCCTGGTGAGTGGTGTTGGTGAGTGGTGAGTGTGTGAGTGTGTGAGAGTGAGTGGTGAGTGTGTGAGAGTGAGTGGTGAGTGTGTGAGAAGGTCATCCTGGTGGGTGGTGAGTGGGGTGGTGAGTGTGAGTGGTGAGAGTGTGAGAGTGGTGAGCGTGTGAGTGTGTGAGTGGTGAGTGGTGAGTGTGTGAGAGTGAGTGGTGAGTGTATGAGAAGGTCATCCTGGTGAGTGTGTGGTGAGTCTGGTGAGTGGGTGGTGAGTGGTGAGAGTGAGTGGTGAGTGTGTGAGAAGGTCATCCTGGTGAGTGAGTGGTGAGTCTGATGGGTGGGTGAGAGTGCGAGTGTGTGAGTGTGTGAGTGTGTGAGAGTGAGTGGTGAGTGTGTGAGAGTGCGTGGTGAATGTGTGAGAAGGTCATCCTGGTGAGTGAGTGGTGAGTGGGGTGGGTGGTGAGTGGGTGAGAGTGCGAGTGGTGTGTGTGTGTGTGTGAGCGTGTGTATGAGTGAGCGAGTGTGTGTGTGTGTGTGCGTGTGTGTGTGCGTGCGTGTGTGTGTGTGAGTGTGTGTGTGTGCGCGAGTGTGAGTGTGTGTGTGTGCGCGAGTGTGTGTGTGTGTGTGAGTGAGTGCGTGAGTGTGTGTGTGAGTGAGTGCGTGTGTGCTGTGTGAGTGAGTGCGTGTGTGCTGTGTGAGTGTGTGTGAGTGTGTGTGTGAGGGAGTGAGTGAGTGTGTGCTGTGTGTGAGTGAGTGTGTGCTGTGTGTGAGTGAGTGTGTGCTGTGTGTGAGTGAGTGTGTGCTGTGTGTGAGTGAGTGTGTGCTGTGTGTGAGTGAGTGTGTGCTTTGTGAGTGAGTGAGTGCGTGTGTGCTGTGTGAGTGTGTGTGCTGTGTGTGAGTGCGTGAGTGTGCTGTGTGCGTGTGGGTGTGTGTGCTGCGTGTGTGTGCGTGTGTGTGCGTGTGTGTGCGTGTGTGGCTTCTCACTGGACCCCTTTGCCCCTCTCCCTGGCACCGCCTCAGTCGGAGATGGAGCGCCAGAAGCTGCTGGCGCGCTTTGCCGAGCTGAAGGATCATGAAGCGTGAGTCGCCCCGTTCTGTAGTGTGTAGTGTAGTGTATAGTGTGTAGTGTAGTGTGTAGTGTAGTGTGTAGTGTAGTGTAGTGTGTAGTGTAGTGTAGTAACAATAGTGTAGTGTATAGTGTAGTGTATAGTGTGTAGTGTATAGTGTGTAGTGTAGTGTATAGTAGTGTGTCGTGTAGTGTAGTGTGTAGTGTAGTGTATAGTGTAGTGTATAGTGTGTAGTGTATAGTGTGTAGTGTAGTGTAGTAACAATAGTGTAGTGTATAGTGTAGTGTATCTTAGTGTAGTGTATAGTGTAGTGTACTAGTACAGCACTAGTGTATAGTGTAGTGTATAGTGTAGTATACTAGTATATAATAGTGTAGTGTATAGTGTAGTGTGTAGTGTATCTTAGTGTAGTGTGTAGTGTATAGTGTATCTTAGTGTAGTGTATAATGTAGTGTATCTTAGTGTAGTGTATAGTGTAGTGTGTAGTGTAGTGTATCTTAGTGTAGTGTATAGTGTAGTATACTAGTATATAATAGTGTAGTGTAGTGTGTAGTGCAGAGGTGTGGACTCGAGTCATGTGACTTGGACTCGAGTCATGAATTTGATGACTTCAGACTCGACTTGGACTTGCATAACAATGACTTTGTCCCACCTCTGGTGTAGTGTATAGTGTGTAGTGTATAGTGTATAGTGTAGTGTGTAGTGTATAGTGTATCTTAGTGTAGTGTATAATGTAGTGTGTAGTGTATCTTAGTGTAGTGTAGTGTGTAGTGTATAGTGTATCTTAGTGTAGTGTATAGTGTAGTGTGTAGTGTATAGTGTATCTTAGTGTAGTGTATAGTGTAGTGTGTAGTGTATAGTGTATCTTAGTGTAGTGTATAATGTAGTGTATCTTAGTGTAGTGTGTAGTGTATAGTGTATCTTAGTGTAGTGTATAATGTAGTGTATCTTAATGTAGTGTGTAGTGTAGTGTATCTTAGTGTAGTGTATAGTGTAGTGTGTAGTGTATAGTGTATCTTAGTGTAGTGTATAATGTAGTGTATCTTAGTGTAGTGTGTAGTGTATAGTGTATCTTAGTGTAGTGTATAATGTAGTGTATCTTAATGTAGTGTGTAGTGTAGTGTATCTTAGTGTAGTGTATAGTGTATAGTAGTGTAGTGTGTAGTGTAGTGTATCTTAGTGTAGTGTGTAGTGTATAGTGTATCTTAGTGTAGTGTGTAGTGTATCTTAGTATAGTGTATAGTAGTGTAGTGTATCTTAGTGTAGTGTATAGTGTATCTTAGTGTAGTGTGTAGTGTATCTTAGTATAGTGTATAGTAGTGTAGTGTATCTTAGTGTAGTGTGTAGTGTAGTGTGTAGTGTATAGTGTATCTTAGTGTAGTGTGTAGTGTATCTTAGTGTAGTGTAGTAACAATAGTGTAATGTATAGTAGTGT